AGGTACACTTTATGAAGCCACCTCTCAGGAAATACCTAAGCAGAAGTTGGATAACCATGTGTCAGGGGGTCAATTAAAAATGATTTTCATAGTAGATGACTTCTAAAGTCCTTTCAAACTCAAGATTCTAAAAGAAGAAAAGCCATAACAAATATATCACAATTATCAAGTATTTCAATTATAGATCTGTATAGCTATCCAATGGGGCTGAATCACAGAGAGTAATTCCAAATATTGTTTTGATACTATTAACAATTTTCTCAGTACTTACAACTCTAACATATCCATATTTTCAACTACTTAGGTAATATGAATAGCATACTTTTTAAAGTTTAGAATTACAAAATTAACTACAATATCACAAATTCCTTGAAAATTCACAGCAAGTAATATTTGTAATTGGTTACAGAACTGCATGATATCTCAAACAGGACAATGATTATTTCTACTTCACTGTCACCAAGCCCTGTGTCTGACAGCTAGCACTGAGGAAAAAAGATTTCATTCAGTTGAAGTAGGAAAATGCCCTGCAGCATGCAGAAGAGCTGGCTCATCATTCCAGATCTCTAAATAGCTTCCCCTTCCCATTAGTTAAAGCCTTCCCATTAGTTAAAGAAGACTGATGGCAGGTCACAAGCTCTTACACATATTCTTTTTTTTTTTTTAAAGATTATTTATTTATTTATTTATTTTCCTCCCAAAGCCCCAGTAGATAGTTGTATGTCATAGCTGCACATCCTTCTAGTTGCTGCATGTGGGACGCGGCCCCAGCATGGCCGGAGAAGCGGTGCGTAGGTGCGCGCCCGGGATCCGAACCCAGGCTGCCAGCAGCGGAGCACGCACGCTTAACCGCTAAGCCACGGGGCCGGCCCTCTTACACATATTCTTTGATTCAAGGAGCTACTCAATGAAATCCAGGATTCATCTCTGAATACAGTGAATCCCGAGTCAGTGAACAGACTCTGAAACTGTAAGGCAGAGTTGGTAAACTGGCATGAAGAAGTCAACTCTTTACTTTCAGATTCCAGATCCAAATTGGTAAATCTGGAGTCACTAAATTAATCAATATTCTTACTCTTAATAAACACTTTAGATGAAAAAAAAAATTCTACCATGAGACTCCTATAAAAAAATTCTATGTCACATCTGAAAGCAAGAATACAAGACTGGCAAGGCAAAAATGTAATTATACGAACAGATTTCCACTTCTGCCCAAGATAGAATAACAGGAACCAAATTTACCCTCCTGCCTGAAAGTGGAAAGAAAAAAAAGACAAAATACATGAAGTGTTTTTCAAGACAATGGACATCAGGCAACAAGGGACAGTAGACCTGTGATAGATGGGAAACACACAGATGAGTCCTACAACTGCCCCAGCTTACTGCCTTGAAAGAGTTTCTAGGCCACAGAACAGGGATGGAGAACCCAGGGAGAGCACAGCAGTCTCCCTGAGTTGACAAGATGCAACTTAGTCTGGAGACAGCAAGGTGACTGCCATATACAAGACAAAGTACCTAGAGGAAAGAGCTGCACAGAAAGATCCAGAGATTTGCAGAGGATATCCCACAACTCTTCAGCTGAGTACTTATCAGTATATACATGTGAGGAAACTACCCAAAGAAGTGAAAGAACCATCAAAAAGGATTAGAGAAAACATCACCCAGAACTTACACAGGTCCAGGAATAGTTTCTGTTCCCACCAGCCAGAGTACTCAGAAGGGTTTTGACTCAATAGTGCAACAAAGTGGTACTGCGTAAAACAACTTAAAAGCAAGACCTGAAAAGATCAAACTGTTTCCAAGTAATTTAACTGCATCCCAGAACGCAGCCCAAGAATATTTAATGAAATAAAAAACATCCAGCACCCAGCAACAAGGTAAAATTCCAAATGTCTGGCATCTAATCAAAAATTACCAGGCATGCAAAAGCAAGAAACCACAATCCATAATGAGGAGAAAAATCAATCAATCAAAACCAACCCAGAAATGACACAGAATTAGTGGACATGGACAGTAAGCCAGTTATAACTGTATTCTCTATGTTCAAGAAGCTAGAGAAAAGACAAAGTATGAAAGCTATAGACATGGAAGATATTAAAAAAGACTGAATTTCTCGAGATGAAACTACAATCATGTGTTGCTTAACGACGGGGACACATTCTGAGAAATGCATTCATTGTTAGGCAATCATTGTCGTGCGAACAGCACAAAGTATACTTACACAAACCTAGAAGGTATACCCTACTACACACCTAGGCTATATGGTACTAATCTTAGGGGACCACTGTCATATATGGCATCCATTGTTGACCGAAATGTTGATATGCGGTGCACGACTATATAATGCCTAAAATGAAAAATACGCTGGATGGGATTAACAGTAGATTAAATATTACAGAAGAAAAGATTAATGAACTTGGAGACATGGCAAGATTACCCAAAATGAAACAGAGAAAGACTGAAAAAAAATTGAACCGAACATCAGTGAACATCAAGCAGCTTGATATACATGTAATCAGATTTCCAAAAGGGGGCGAGAGGGCAAAATATACACATATTTGAAGAAATAATGGTCAAAAATTTTCCAAATGTGATAGAACCACAAACCAAACCAATAGATCAAAAAAGCTCAACAAACTCCAAGCAAAAGAAACATGAAGAAACATATATAAAGTTTCATTTGCAAAGGGTTCTCACTCACAAATTCTATAACCAAATGTGATACAGAAATTACTTAGACTAAGGCTAACTTTTAGGTTAACTCGCTGGGTACAGTTTCAACTGAGTACAGTTTCAACTCAATTTAATAGAGTTCATTAAATCAAACATTAATTTGAATAAAGTGCTTAACAGAAATCTTAATGATTTCAAAATTAGCAAAACATAGCTTTCAAAACAATGTAGATTTTGTTGCCCTATTAGGTAAATAATTTATTAAAATAAATTTGTGTTGATCTTATTTTAGCAAATTATTTTTTGAAAAGCTAAAGCATACTTCTTCCTTTTTTTATTCATTTTTCTTTTCCTTTAATTTATATAGGTCATTCAGAACAGAATTAGGACACTGAAAAAACTTTTAAAGAAACTGAGAGGTGGAACTGAAAACAGAAGCACATTTGAGGTTTGGAATGGAGCTAGTCCTCCCAAAAAAACAACCTGGCAACCACTATTCTGGAACATCGTTACTTTCAAAATATACATATATATATTTTTAAGTATAAAACTGTACTCAAAGTGAAAACAAGCTGAAGTGTCTGTTTTTAGCACCTTGGCTAACTATTCAGAAGTCAAAAAGATCTAAATATTTTTTGAAATTAGAATTATTCAAATAAAAACCATTAAAGTGGAAAACTAAAGTAATGTATTTTCCTGTTTTTGTGAACACACCTTTTTTTAGGGTTTAGCATACAAGTTCAAATTTTTCTGTCTAAAAACAAGCAAGAAAAGAGGGATAGGCGAGTAAGTTCTGAGTATCTGCTGTAATGGCTACCCTTCCTGTCATGTGTGTTCCCTAAAACAGAAGTCAATTTAATTATTCTACCCTTTTGCTTAGGATATAGTGGAATATTTCAAAGACAAAAAGTAGTTCCATGGGAGAGCTGCCAAAAATACATTTACTATCCCTGGAAATAATTAACGTCTATCTCCTTTTTTCCTTTCTTAAGGAAAAAGATATACACACACACTTAGATAACATATATATTTCTCTGAGTGCCTCTACAAATAAAACACTTTTGTAAAACATATAGTAGTATAATACTTCCCTGTAGGATCAACAAATACCTGAAAAACAGCACACAAACCTCTTTGAGCAGAGAGACTATAAATCTCTTCAAGCACACAGACTAAGAAGTTACCACTGGAACAATTATTTATGGATTTGACTTCTAGCCTCTTTTAAATTAAAAAAAAATCTAAACATAAAAATAACTTCCAATAAAATACAGAATTGATACTTTATATGCTAGGTTATTAATCTATTAATAGACATTCTTTAGTAACAATTATTTATTAATAATGTACTAATTCCCACATACATAAAAGATAAGTGTCTTGAAATTGAAAGTTCCAAACTACTCTTGTAATCAGATTCTATTCAAGAGAAATAAAGCTAAATACACATTATTTTGAGCACAACTGTAACATTCAGTTTGATAACCTACACTGATGTACTTAGAATGCATGTATGCTACAATACCTATAATGATAAAAATTAAGAAGTTTTTATTTCACTGATTCAGCTACCAATACGATTTAAATACTCAATTCTCATCTCAAAAACAATGTCCTACTTAATACAAATCCAATATCATAAATATAAAAAACAAAGATTTGCCTACTAAATCGTTATTTAGTTGTTATCAAGATTTCAGTTACCTGCATTTCAAAACTAGCTCTAAGAATACCTTAAAATGATCCCCCAAATATTATTCTAATAATTCACACAATAAATCATCTAATCAGACTTTAGTTATTGTACGCATTTAAATTACTTGTTACAGTAACAGTCCTCACCAATCAGAACTGTTGTTTGAAATTTTCTCTTCTGAAATCTGTTATTACTTCTCCAGTTTCAAAATCGGAACCATTTATTTTTAGACGCAAAGGTTAATAAGAAACATTTCTGCATCAAATGAACATAACTTCACAGTAAAGGCTCTTCCTCTCTTAGGAAACTATTCTCATTCTCTCTCTCATCTTACCAAATTATCAAAGAGGGCACAATATGGTTTGGATTTCAGCACTGAAGACAATAAGCGACGATATATGGCTGGCAGAATAAAAAATTAAAGTTTCACAATTTTAACAGGTATAATTACTGGGTTGTGATAAATGGGCCGGGCATGTAAGATTATTACTTCTTTCAAGGTCCAATTCTTAAACCACTTGAATTTTTCTGGCCAAAGAACCAAATTAGGAGCTTAAAACATAGTCTCTAAATTCACAGTATCCAATTTTTCAAAGACAAGTTACGTAGAAAAGAAGAGAAGAACACTTACATTTGGAGCATGACCTGGTTCAAGAATACCCCATCCACCAAAGCCACATATTCATCCAGGTTGGTCCCATTTCCTGCAGCCAAGGATCCAAACGTTTTAACCTAGAAGAGAACGATCATCACGACACGAACGCCCACCTCCATCTCTGCAGCCGCAAATAATGCAGCAAAATATACAATAAAGACACCCCACTTACCCAAGTGACCAAGGGGCTGGTCATGAACTGCTCCAGAAGGGGAGTAAAAATCTCGTTCTCCATTTTACAGATAATGTATTTGAAAAAAGGAACTACCACAAAAATACGCCTAGGGAATTGGTCACTAAACGTTGAAAAAGTAAGTAGAAATCAATGCAAGTCCATTTTGGCACGGGAAGAAAATCCCATCGTGAAGGGGGGGAAAACTCTGCCTCCCCAAAAAACACCCCAGAGGGAAACGAGCCGAAATCCCGAGAAGTGGCTTCGACAGCAGCCACGAGCGGCAGTCTGCGCTGGAAATGTCTGTACCGGGCGAGGAGGGGCAGAGAAAAGGCATCTGGAGGAGGAGGAAGGGAAAAGGGGCTGGAGCAGCAGACAAAAAGCCCGTCAAGGTTGCCCAGCTCCCGGAGGAGGCAGACCAGCGAAGCTGCCCCCAATGAATTAATCTCAACGTGGGCTAAATGAAACACCACGTAAGATATCACGTTAAGGGTTCCGAGCGGCCGCCAGGCTCGACCCCCGCGTTCTGCTCAACACGTTCCACTGCCGCTTCGACCCGCAGAGTCTCCCCTGCCCGCAGCCCCTCACCACCGACAGGCAGGGCTCGCCCCTTCCCGCCGAGCAGACATCATCCCTCCGCCGCCCTCAAGCCTCGCCTCCAGCCCCCTTCCCCTCCCGGGGGCTGGGGGCTTGAATGTGTGTCCCTAACCCCCCAGTTTCCTGAGCCCCGCCAGCCTTTTCAGTGCGCCTCTGGGAAGCCCTGGCACAAAATCACCGCCGCGCTCCAGCCTCCTCCTCCGCCCTCTGTGGAGGAGCCAGAGTAACGGCCTCAGAACCGCAGTGCCGCATCACACCCCGCTCCTCGCCGCCCAACCAGCGCTGCGAGCCCGCCGTCAAAGGGAGCGCTGCTCCCTCCGCGCCCATATCCTTCCGCCGACTCCCCGCCCCTCCCGCGCCGCAGCCTCTGGATTGTGGGAGAAGAAAACCGCTGCATGAGCGCGCTCCCGAGCGAGCGCGCCCCCGGGCCGACCCCGCCGCCGCCCAGATCCTGGCGGCGGGCGCGGGCGCGGACGCGCGCTCGCTGCAGCTGCTGCGGTGGCCGGCGCCTCACTCGCGTCCAGAACGTTTGCCGGGACCTGGGGGCGGGGATGGGGAAGGCAGAGGAAGGGGTCTGTCTGCTCGCTCGCTCATGCCTAATTATGGTTTATTTCCTCCCCGAGTGCTTTCTTTGATGTGTGAAGCAAAGGGAACAAAATCCTTCTCTTTTAAACATGAGGGATGCAGACAGTCTTTTTCGGACAGTTTGATTTGATCTGTTAAGCGTGCTTTCGCCAGCAAAACGGAATAGAAAAACTCACTGCAGCAAATAGCAAAGGAAGGGCTTGAGCCGCAAACTTGGTTTGTGTTTGTTTTTATTTCCTTTTTTTTTCTTCTTTTGAAATCCAGTCCACTAAAGCATGAATGCTCTTCAAGTTGCAAGTGAATGTGGTAGGATTTTAAATAACCAAAGCTGTCTTTCAACACGTTGGTATTCCTTGACTGGAGCAAACGTGATTCAGACATTGTGTTGGATTATTTGGCAATGAAAAAAATCCAAACAAAATCAAGAGCTGCTAAGAGGAAACATTTGGAAGTCATCCAAGTTGGGTGACAAACAGATTACATATCTGTCATAAATCTCTATGCTATGCACGACTGGAACCATCCAAGTAATTTTAACAGTTCCCCAGCAAAATCAAATGTTACTCCTCTTCATTTCGAAAGAAAATAAAGACCTTTTCCCTGGGACAAAATGGGCATGTAAAACCATTTTTTTGAGAAAATAAATATAGTATTATAGTTTTGCAGTGTGTGCTGTTTACATTTACGTAATATCTACTTTGAGTACTTATATGATATTTTAAATTAGCAGTAAAAATGTTTTCGTCTTAACACTAAATTAAGAAGTTTCTTAATTAGGTAGTTGAGAGCCTGGGATCTAGAGTCTTCCTGCCTGGTTCAAATCCAGGCTCTGATACTTACCAGCTGTGTGAGCCTAGGCAAGTTACTGAACCTCTCTGTGCTTCACTTTCTTCATGTGTAAAGCAGGGATAATAATAGGGTTAAATTAAATGGCAACCTATAGTAAATGCTCTATAAATGTTATTGATGTTTTCATCATCATTCCCCCCAAACGAAGAATCTTTAGGAGAAAACTTGAAATGTAACCTCTCCTGCTTTATTACAGTTACAGGAGAAAGGATCTTGCTTTGGAGAGCAGAGAAATGCCCTTCCAAAATCATCTTAATTAAAATCAGAATGCATTCATGTGGTGCTTTGCTAGGTGGTGTACAGAATAGAACCTTGCATTGCTGTGGCCAGTATACAAGCTAGCAATCTTTTCCTTCTGCTCTTGATGACTCTTTCTTAATCACAATCCTTTATTTGGAAATGCAGACCACGAGAGAGCAGGCACCAAGAAGGAAGCATTGCTTTCAGGAGCAGCCCAATGCCTGACATGACCACTTTTCTTTGTAATCCCTCAGAAGCTTGACTAAACAACATGCAATTGTTCATGCCTATACTGGGGTTTATCTTAAGACAGACCAACCTGCTTCATTCATAGATGAAAAACTCATAAAATATTAACACCAAGTACAACAAGTTAAGGGCATTTTGGACAGTGATGGCTGAAGGCTTAGCATAGGAGTTGTACGTTAAGATAGCATTGTTTATCCAGTTTACATTTAACAGCTAGCCCTCACAGAAATGTGGATTCCCCTCTAGAGCCAGATGGCCCGAGATGCTTCCTGGTCTATCTTTAGGTTTCACACACACACACACACACACACACACACACACACACACACACACACTCAACAAAGAAACATGAGGAGTTAATTGTAAAAACAGGAAGCTTTAGACCAGACTGAGGTCTGGAGTAACTTATTTGAAAACCTACCAATTCACAATTCTCTACTTTAACAGCAGCCTTAGAAATGCTTTATAATATCTCAAGAGAACAATCAGGAAACTTCTCTGTCTGGCAAAAGGGGATTGTACATTATACACAATTTAATGGTCTTTGAATTGCAACTTCCTGTAGGATTAAATCCAAAAGTTTCCTCCTATCATCCTTTCACTTAGGAAGAGATTTCTTCAGGGTACTTTAGTTTTGTACTTTGTAGTCATTTATTTGTCCTGAATTCATGCTTTCTTAGAAAGTTAAATCCAGCAGGAAAGGACTTTGGGAAAATCATACCCATCTGGTTAGAGTCTAAGTTATCTGCTCTGCTCTCTTCTAATCAGAAGTTAAATGGTTGGAATGGACCATGATCCTGTTTAGGAATCACTAGAGAAAGAGTCTCTGCCATGTGCTGTTATAATTGAGACTCTATCTGCAGGTTACACATACATAACACTACCCCCTAAATAACACTACCCTTATACCAAAAGCACCCATGTCTACCTCTGTCTTGATCTACACTATAGGAAGTGATAGACTCACCTGAACCAAGCTCCTTGGTGACAAATATTTGCAAGGCTAATCACATCCATAAGCTAGCATAATAAAAATAACATAAATACAGAAGCAGAATGGCACAATTGTTTATAATAGCCCAAAAGTGGAAACAACCCAAATGTCCATTGACTAATAAATGAATAAATAAAATGTGATATATCCATACAATGGAATATTATTTGGCAATTAAAAAATGAAGTACTGATACATGCTATAACATATATGAACCTTGCAAACATTATGCTAAGTAAAAGAAGCCAATCACAAAGGATCACATATATTATGATTCCGTTTATATGAAATGTCCAGAAGAGACAAATCTATAGAAAGAGCAAGTAGATTAGTGGTTGCCTAGCTGGGGAGTTTGGGAGTAAATGGAGTTGATGGCTTAGGGGTACAGGGTTTCTTTTTGGGAAAATCAAAATATTTTAAAATTAGTTGTGATAGATGCGCAACTCTGTGAAGAAACTAAAAACCATTGAATTGTACACCTTAAATGGCTGAATTGTATGATATGTTAATTATTTCTTTTAAAAGCTATTTAAAAAAAAGAACAGCACCATTGCCTCATGAATATTTAAAAAGAAATGCCTTCGAGAAATCCAATCTCACATAGACTTTTCAAAAGGATCTCTAGTCCTCTTGATCTAATGAATAAGATTTTAAACTCACCTAAGAACATAGAAGGCATAAGTTTTAGTTATCCAACATAGTTTTAAGAAAAATATAATAGAATGAGAGAGAGAGAGAATAAGAGAGAGACAGAAATTAGGCAGGTTGCTTAACTTCTTTGAGCATCAATTTCCTCAGCTGTATAATGGGCTTATTGCTTCCATTCCCTACTGGACATCTGCTTAGACTGGACTTTCTCTGTCCTGTCTCTCAACTGGGCAGAGGAAAGGAATGTTGGAAAGAGATGATAGGGCAGAGAGAGGGGTCCTTCTCTCAGCCTGATCTTCAGTTGCTCCTCTCAAATGCTCTAATACTGTGTTCCAAAGTGAACCATCTCAAATTCTCCGCTGTATTCCATGCTACCATCCTTGTCTGAAATGCCCTTTCCTGCTTTCTAACCAGGTCAACTCTATTCATCCTTCGGGATTCAAGAGACACCTCTCTGTGTGGCATTCCTCTTCCTCAGGTTGAGTTGAACACTCCCTCTTCTGTGCCTGCCTACTATATAATCTCATTTTATTTCTGTAACTTGCTCTGAATGGCATGTATTTGCTGACAGCCTCTTCTCCTGAGTAGATGGGGAACTCCTGGAAAGTGACCTTGTTTTATTCATCTTTGTATCCCTGGCATTTAGGACAGCACCTAGCTATTATGGGCACTCTCAGTCAAAGTGCCCATAAAAGAGCAGATCAGAGTTTTCCTTCAACCACAGTGACCAGTTTAAATTCCTAACAATCCGCAAGAGTTCACAGCAGAGCAATTTCCAAGAAGAGGCTAATTGAACTTTGTTAAATCTAAGTAAAGGGCGTAACTCTGATTTCTTATCCATATTGCTTTTACTAAACAAGTCAAAATCACTTAGTCATTTTCAAATGACCGGATGACATAGAAGAGGCATTAGCTGGCGATTACTGCTTGCCAGTGAATTTGAAAAACTAAAAACACATTGAGATCATAAAATAAATGGCTTTCAAAACAGATTTTTCCAAAGTCTATGTAACTTTTTTTTCAGAGAAAAGCTTAGAGGAATATATAAACATCAATGTAATCTTCTATTTCTCACACAGGGTACAATGATATTTATCCTTTTCAATGCCCAAATTATTTTTCATTTGTTATCATTTTGATGGAAAGCCTCTAAAAGGTGTTATAATTGTCTAAGTTTTGTTCAACAGCTTATTCTGAACATAAATTAACTTTTTCTTAAAGAAATACATCATCACAATTGACCTAAATGGTTGCGTTGTGCTTTTAATATGATGATGTGTTCAGAAGCTCTTAAAAAGTTCAAGGGTGTTTGACCTCCACTCACAGGCCCCAGACAACTATGTTTGAGTTTTTATTTTACTTTGAAGAGTTTTTCTATCTTCTCTCTTGGCTCTCAGTTTTTGTTGCTGACAATATCTCTATTTATCATCCTTATTCTAGTTTGCTGCTTCTAATTTTCTGTGTGCTGGGAATACACAGATTGTTAAAACAGTCTGAAAGAATTAATAATTTTTGAGTGAGGACCTGATGGGCTCTCCTATGAATTTGTGACATGCCTAAAGTGTCTCTTGGTGTGATGTTTTTGCTTACTTTCAGTTTCCTGGTCTTTACTTAGGTAAGGTGGTGCTACTCTATTTCTTTAACTAGTTTACCGTGGTAAGACACGAAATAATCTTGTAAATTAGTGGTATTTCCAGGGTATGACTATCCTATCATGTGATCAGTCCTTT